TCTTTCCCTCAGTCATGCAGGAAGGATGCCCACTCACCAGCGAGTCATCCAATGTAGTGATTGAGTTATAGCTGAAGTTCACAGTCTGCAATTCCAACCACGGGAGAGCACAGCTCAGATCTCCACCACATGCTGAAATGATTTCCTAGGAAGAAGTGAGAAGCCGTTCCTTGCTAAGTACTAGCTGTTACAGTAACAGCAGATGAACACAGGAGAACAGCCAGTCTAGAACAAGGCTGGCATATTGTGCTTTACACACCCTGCCTTGCCTAGAGTGACAATGACTTATGTCACCAGTTCATGTATTTGGAAGTGGTGGGAATTCCATGGCTAGATACTTACAAAGAATGGGAAATGCTTTTGCTTCCTACACTTGGAACAGTGGCATCAGTTAACCTAACATGTTACAATTCGTAGGTTCTGAGCACAAAGATTCATGCTAACAAAACCTTTTTCAGCCCTCCATCAAAGCAGAAGATACACACGCCCTGGCCAAACAACTTGTGCTCTGGCAGACAAAAGAAGCTCGCAAAGCACTCCCTACCAGCAGCCCCTGTTCCCCAGCAGGCAGCAGCTTTTGTGCCACAGACAGAAGCCCAGAGCCCCACAGCTACCACAGGCCATGCAACTCAGTTCTCTGTGGCTGCAGCTTGCCTTCACGTCTCAGAAACCTGCTGGGCACCAGTGCAGATAAGACACTGGGGCACTACATTCCCTCTGACAATCAGCTCTAATTTAAGTCTGGTGAGATACAATGAAATAAACCTTGATCAGCTGCAGGCCTTTGAACATGGAAACAGCCCGGCACACAGAACAGTCAGACCTAACCAATACGAATATCGACCAGAGCCAGAAATTCTCAAGCAGCTAAAAAGGAGACTACAAAGCACACGTGTATCCAACCAGGGGATACTTAAACACTGTTAGAGTCAGGAGTTGGACCCCAGAACAGGGAAGGGAGAAAAAGCCACATACAACATGGATTGATAAAGATGGTTAACCCTGTCTCCTATATCTTCCTTGTGGGAAGGGCTGTAGGGTCAAGACATCCTTCCTCCTGCAATTTTCCCCACAAGCTGTGTAGAGACACTCACCTCCAGTGTACTGATACATTTGCAACAGGTTAGAGATTCCAGCTGAGAATAGACAAATCGCAGTCCCAGGAGGCAGTGTGGAGGGACAGACCTCAACTGCAGCAGTGAAGAGAAAGTAAGGACAACATCAAAATATTACAGTGTAAGAGCAGCTGCCATCCCAGGCCTATCTCTGCAAAGGATCTGCCATTTCCATGCTGGAGCCTCCCTCCTTAACACTCCAGCCTTTGCTCATTTCCAAACTTCACCCCAATGAAGTGTTGCAGGAGTTTAGACCTAGCCTTCTAGGGAAGCCACAAAAGCCTACCCAGTTTTTAGGGGTGAAGGCACTCTGCAACCACAAACTAAGCCAAGAAAAGCCAAACAGCAAGACTCAAAGCCAGTTCTGCCTCTTATACTTACCTCCAGATGCCGGAGGGACTTGAAAGGGAAGATCTTCACAGCAGATTGCAAAACACAGTTTGGAACATGAACGAGCTAGAGAAATCAGAAAAGAAGTCTCATGTCAAGCTTGATTTGTGCTGCAGTACTGCCTTCCTGATGCACCAACTGCAGCACCTTGAACACCCTCTCCAGCTCAGGTGTTCACTAACAAGCTCTCCCCCAGTGCTGGTATCAGCACTGTCTCCTGGCCCCACAGTTCAACAGGGGTCAAAGAGAAAAGCACGTTAGCTAGCACAACAACCACGGTCTGCCAGACCAGGGAGCTCCTTTTCTTCTCCCCTGCCCACACAGCTTCACCACTTTCAGAACAACAGGGAAGTCTGGTAGCTGGATTCCCTCCCCATCAGCCACCACTAACAAATCTACTGAATAAAGACAAATCTAATTGTTGGAGCTATGTTTATTGAGCAACTGAGCTGAACTAGCACACTGGTGGGCTGCATGCTTGTGCATTTCACTAGAACAGGCCAAATAAGGCAAATCACAAGCAGATACAATGGAAAACAGAGTTGGTCTCCAAGACACTTAACATTAGATTGAGGTACCTGCAAACCTCCTCTTTGCATTCTGTAGTGCAGCCACAGGCTCTTTCACCACAGGATGCTTAGGCTGTGCTCATGTACCACAAGGCAGCTTATTAAATCCAACTTCCTATGCTTTCTACGCACAGTGCATAAACAGTATTTCAGACAAAGAGAGTAATAAAGTAGCTAACGTTTCCACTGCAGACACCACAGTACAACTGGAGAGACCATCTCTGCCAGCTACATCCACATTCACGCAGAAGTGACTCATCAGGTGCAGAACAGACATCCCAAGGCCTCGTCACCACTACTGCTTCCACAATTACAGCCCTAACAGCAATGAATCACTGCCCACTGCCTGCCAGCACTAATGCGGCATGTTGAACAGGACCATTTGTAGGGGAAGCTTGCACTGGGAGGCTCTGATGATCAGTTTTAGCAGTCTATTTCAGATGCCATCCTTGCTCTCTGTCCTGACTGTCCCCTCTCCCTCCACTGTCTTAAGAAACCGATCAGGCTGATATAAATGATTAGTTTTTCCACACCACGATGGATAGCTTCCCCTTCCTTACAGGCTTGTTACAGAAGGAACCCATTTTTTGGTTAACACAAGCACTCACCACAACATCCTCCTGACTGCAGCGTCCCTCCCCACCTCCTCCTGCCAGGGGACCCGTGTTTCTCCACAGGCTCTGAGCCCCACTCCAATCTCCACCCTCAGCACACTGCTACAAAACCCTCCCAACAACACTCAGATAATCTCTCCAATCTGTCTCATATGGAAAACACTTTTAAAGACATCACAAGCTATTGTGCTCAGCCACAACACCTCCTGAGCACCACTGTGGAACCTAAGAATAGCTGTTAATTGCCCTTCCCCTTTCAGGCCCATTTCACTTCTACTGCCCTCCTAGCAGTTCTCCAGTGCCAAATATAATCATATGCAGCCTCGTAACCCATGCCAACTTTCAAAACGCCCTCTGACGAATCCCTAGCTCCATACTTTTACCTTTATTACGGCCTTCTTAAAATTAATGAGGACGCATTACTAGCAATGCCCCATACCGTGAAACAGATCAACCAGAGCCACTGCCCGGGCAGGCGCACGTAAAATTCAGAAATAAGGAGCAGAAGAGCTCAGTGTAGTGGATGTATACAAATTCTAACTACTCTGCTCAAACACCCTGGCTCTGCTGCCTCGTGCAGAGCAACCATCGCTCAGGGAGCACTCAGCTGTGCTCGGCTGCTAGATACTGCCTGAATTGCTCAAGCATTTCAGGAAATAATCATTTTCCCAACAACGTCAACGCCTTACCAAGGTCAGAACATAATTAACCCCTGCTGCCCCTGTTCTTCACTCTGAAAAACTTTCCGCTTAGTTGCACAGTTGATCCTAGATGAAGTAGCTACACACTATCATGCTGAACTACAACTCCCTGCAGCAGCCCTGCGAGAGCTACCCGACCCATGTAGCATGCGCATAAGACGGGGTCAATGGGCACCATGAGAGGCCGGTCTGAAGCAGGCAGCTGTGCCTGCCCCCTCCACTGGCCGGCCTTGCAGTACCCCTGGCTCCTCACATCCCCAGCCACGGTAGGTACAGACCTTCAGGGAGTGAGTCTTCTGCAGGACGTCGAAGAGGAACTGTGCCTGGAGGATGGCGGCGGTCTCGGCAGGGTGTGAGGGCAGGGCCACGAAGCCCCGGTTCTGGTTGCGGGAGCCCAGGTGCTGCTCGAAGACCTGCGTGAGGTGCTGCAGGGTCGGGGTGAGCAGCGTCAGCGTGCTGGAGCCGTCCAAGATGAGG